AGGAATCTCATTGCATGGATATACAGCAGAAAATTTCTTTCCAGGCAGAGGGAATACAATCAGCTCTCTCTGAACTAGGGTTTCCCAACCTTTTCCAGAGGATTTAATTATTTGGGATGCCACCACCTCTTTTGGAGAAGAAGCTGGTATTCTACCTCCCCAAAAGATTTGGCTGCTTTCCTTTAGCTGTTACCTTGTGATCTGACCCACTTCCACTTGGCACTTCCCCTCCCTGCGAGCGCACCCTTGGCCCTGGTTCCTCCCGAGGCCACATGGGGTGATGTCTGCGCGGAGAGGAGCTCTTGGCACCCGGCCGAGCAGAGGGAGGCACAGCGCGGTTTGATGCAGATGCCTCACACCCCGTGTCTGCCTGCCCCTGCCATGGTGCTCTTGCACACAGGGACTCCATCCCTGGGGTCTCCTCGTCACGGGCTTGCGGGAACACCCAGCCTCCTGCCGTGGCTGCTCGGTTTTCTTTGTGCCTGCCTGCTTGCTGGGGAGCAGAGAGGTGTTTCTAGTTCCTAAATTGGCCTTTTGAGGGTTGTCCCTCCTTAATTTCAGAGCAACCCAGGCAAATCCTGCCCAGATCAATAAATCCTGCCCCGTGGGCACCCACACGCACAGGGCAAGCAAAGGCTGGCCCCGTCTTACAGGCGGAGGAAGCAGAGAAGCGATGCCCTGTGGGCGCGATACGGCAGCAGCGCCACGATTGGGGCTGTCACAGCTGTGACTAGTGGCAGTCCTCTCCAGCTGGCCTCGCTTGCAGGGGAGAGAGAGCTTCCAGCAGCAGTTGGAGACAGAAACAGGGCCAGATCCCCACGGGGAGTCACACGTCTTCGCATCTTAAAAGCCAAAGCAACCAGTGATTCTGACAAAGCCGCTCTCCTCTGCCTGCTAGTTCTCCTTCAGGCCATATTTCACTTTCACTGCTCCTAATCACAAGCTCTATGTTTCTAGCAGGAGTGCCGTGCTTCACCTGACCCTATGGCCATGCATTGCCCGAGCTGTCCCCGCAGCCCTTTCTGGTCATGGGAGGTCACCTTCTCACGTACCCGGTACTTGGCGACACCAAAGGAGAGCTTGTTTTGGCACCTGGACCCTTCAGTGACTTTGGAGAGTGTCATAAGATTAGAGCCTTAAATCTGACCCCGTAACACGGCACCGAGCCAACAGGCTGCAGTCTAGGTGGCAAAACTGCACCAGTACCTCCTGCTGCCTCTTCCTCCAACCTCTGCTGACTGAGCTCTGGGACGATAATGGCTCCTGGGGTAGTTGTGGATGTTGTCTTGATGACAGAAAATTCTAAGAAACAGGAAACAACAGGCACGTTGTATCTGGTCCTGAGCCATTTGGGGTGTGCGCAGCGATCTGGAGATCCAGCCTTCCCGAATGAGTATTTTTCACAGCAAGACTGCAGACGATCATACCATCGTGATGCTGGAGGTTGCCATCACTTGGGGGTCCTCAGGCTCCGAGGTGGGGCTGTATCTCAGTAACACCTTTGTCAGGATTTCCCTCCTGCCATCACCTTGGCCTCTGTCCTGGGTTGGCTGGGGCGGAATCCCAGCCCAGCCATGCCGGGCAGGACGTGAGCAGTTTCGAGTCAGCCAGGGCAGCTGACCTGAGTGAGCTGCAGGTGTAGCCACTGCCATAACTTCATGGTCGTTATAAAGGGGGAAGGTTTGCTGAGGAGAGGGGAGTTCTGGCTGGGGTTCTTCCTGCTCCTGAGGACTGTGAGGGCTGGGCATTCCAGGCTGAGTATAGCTTTATATACTTTATTGGTTTTGCTCTTTCACTAAATCTGTCCTTGCTTTGACCTTTGGATCTCTTCTCCTACTCCCTTTCTCAGTTGGGAAGGGGTCATTGGGTGGTAGAATAACTGCTATAGTTTAGCCCCAGGTACGGGCTAAATGTAGATAGCTTC